GTTGTGTGCATCTCTACGCGTGCGTGTATCTGTATGTGTGTGTGTGTATGTGTGTGTTCGCGTGTATGTGTGTGTGTGTATGTATGTGTATGTATGTATGTATGTATGTATGTATGTATGTATGTGTGTGCGCCTGTGTAGGCCACGATGCGAAGCGTTCCCCGTATCTCTGCGCTTGTGCGCAGCATCCGCTCCGCCTCTTCCTCCGCTGCCCCCGCAGCAGAGATTCCGGTGAGATGCCCATTCATGATGCGACAGCGACACGCTCAAGCACCACCAACAGTTCACACTTGAGCCTACTTGCACAACCCCTACAACTGCGCATTCACACACACACACACACGCGCGCGCGCGCGCAACGTTCAACTCACACATGCACACTGTGTCAACCGTGCATGCCCACACATGACAACAGCGGTGGAAGCGCATTGCTGGTTCTGCCGCCATTCTCACCGTCGGCTGCGGCGCTGCCCTTGCCATGGAGGTAAGCGATGTGCATGCACCGTACCCCTCGTCCAATAAAACGCATACACACAAAATACCACACACGCGCACACGCACACACACACACACACACACACACACACACACACACACACACACACACACACACACACACACACACACACACACACAGATCATGCCTCTCAACCTTGTCATGTCGGCGCCTGCATGTCTGTGCCACATTGGTCTCACTGATAGGAGCTGCGTCCTGTCAACGCTGAGGACTTGGAGCTGCACCCAGCAGCGTACCCTTGGTCACACAACGGCATGCTCGACTCATTCGACCACGCCAGGTGTGGTTGTATGTGTGCGTGTGGTTGTGCGAAGTGTGTGTGTATGGTGTGTGTGGATGTTGGATGTGTATTGTGTGGGTGGGTGGGTGGATTGCTTGAATTGCGCTGCGACTGCTCACACCTTTCCCGTCTTGCATGACCAGCATCCGCCGCGGTCACCAGGTGTACCAGCAGGTCTGCGCTGCGTGCCACTCTCTCGAGCGCATCGCTTACCGCAACCTTGTCGGCGCCTGCTACAACGAGACAGAGGCAAAGGTCGGAACATCTGCTTACCTATGCCGATTCGTGTGGGAATCACACATGTGCATGTATTCGTGTGTGTGTGTGTGTGTGTGTTTTCTGTGCCCAAATTTGCCACAGTGCTCATTCTCATATCGCCACTGCGGCTGTTGTGCTTGTCTCGCCACCCCTTCCCCATGTCCTCACTTGTTTGGCCAACAGGAACTCGCCAGTGAGACCATGGTTGAGGATGGTCCTGATGACAACGGTAACATGTTCAAGCGCCCCGGCAAGCTTGCCGACTACTTCCCCAGCCCGTTCCCCAACGAGGAGGCCGCGCGTGCCGCCAACAACGGTGCCTACCCGCCAGACCTCAGCCTGATCATCAAGGCCCGCCACGGCCGCGAGGACTATGTCTTCTCTCTGCTCACCGGCTACTGCGATGCCCCGGCTGGCGTGGAGGTACGCCGGCATGTGTATGCGTGTGCGTGAGTGCGTGTGTATGTGTATATGTGTGTATGTATGTGTGTATTTGTGAGAGTGTGTATGCGTTTTTGTGTGTTTGCGCGTGTTTGTGTGCGTGTGTACAGCAATATCGGTTCTTTAGCTGGCCTCACTTGCCCTTGGCTTTGCACATGCCCTTCTCGCTCTCCATTTTCTCTCCTCCAAAACTCACCTTGCTGCGACATTTGCGTTCCTCGTACGCCTTGCCTCATCATCTTGACGACGCCAGATTCGTGAGGGCCTGTACTACAACCCGTACTTCCCTGGCCAGGCCATTGCCATGGCTCCTCCTCTCTACGACGACCAAATTGAATACGACGATGGTGCGATTGTGCTCTGTGTGTGTGTGTGTGTGTGTGTGTGTGTGGACGGAACAAACTATGCCAGTGGTAGTAAAGTACCGTTGCGATTGGTTGCAGCGGTAAAGTGCGCGCGCATCCTTGTAGTTTGTGCCGGTTCCCAACAACCCTGACGCTGCGTCATTGTCTGGTCTGCGTTTGATTGCCAACAGGTACCCCTGCAACCCTGAGCCAGATGGCCAAGGACGTTGTCACCTTCCTCACATGGTGCGCTGAGCCCGAGCACGACGATCGCAAGCGCTTTGGCATGAAGGTGGGCGTCGCATCGACACACACCTCGTGTGCTGTGTTGTTTTATGCCTTTTCGGCACATGCCTTGGATGTTCTGACAATTTGGATTGTCCACAGCCGTCTTGTCGCCCTTCCATGTTGCGTCTGTGTCCCAACAACCCCTTTGTTTTTGCTGTCCCTCCCAATTTTGTGCGTGTGTGTGCGTGCGTGTGTGTGCCTGCCCATCCAACTCACATGCATGATGCTTGGTGCGTCGCCCCAACTACTCTGTCCACGATCAACAACAGGCCATGATTCTGCTTAGCTTGGTTTCCGCTGGCCTGTTCTACTTCAAGCGCCACAAGTGGTCGACGCTCAAGTCGCGCGTTGTTGCGTACAAGCCCCGCCACTAAGCTCGTCAACCTCCCTCCTCGCCCTCCCCCTCCCCTCCGCCCTGGCCACCACGTGTATTTGAGAGCCTTGTTTTTCCTTCCTCCCTCAATTGAGATTGATTGCTCTTCCCACCCTACTAACATTGGGTAGAAGGCGCTTTCCGTCTTTGAACGCTTCGTGTTTTGCTGACATGAGTGATGTCGTGCGTATGTGTGTGCTTGTGTATCGGTGTGGTGTCAGCTAACTTGCCCAGAGCTACGCATGTTCTGTGATGTGACTGTCGTTGTTGTTGTTGGCTGTGTGTTTGGTGTGGTGTGACACAATGTGGGCTGCGGTGTGATTTGTCCTTGAAACACAACCACGGCAATTACACAGACAAAACTGCCGCCACGCTCCGGGGAGGCATTGTCCTCATGCGTTTACAGTGAATAGCTTTGCAACACAGCGAGCATTACGGAGAGGCCAGTGAAGGCAAGCACAATCGAGTACCGGCAGAGAACGAACAGCCCAGCCGCTCTTCATTGACAGCAGGTGGCAAAACTTCGAACACGTGCATGCACGCAATCATCGTGTCATCAAGCAGGCCCCGCGTGCGCCATGCATGGCACGAATCACGCAATCTAACCAAACACATATCCCTGCTCAATCACATGTACAGTACATCACGCAAACACGCACGCACGTCAAACACACACTGCCACACACACACTGCCACACACACACAACACAACACACACATGCACACCCACACACACAGCCCCCCCCCCACACAAAGCACACACCCTGTGCTCCTCTCCTACCCCTACGTTCCTTCACTTGATCCACAAAAAGAAGCTCGTTTCTGTCGTCATGGGCGCTGTGGCAAAGAGAGGTCGCCAGCCGTTGCGAGCCGGCGCATGTGTGCGCGTGAGAAGCGAGCGCCGGCAGTACATAGGGTATCCAGCAGTCGCTGCCGCACAGCAACATCCAGGTTGGTGTTGCACAGGACACGCGTGCACATGTTCACAACTTGCTTGTCCACGGACATCTCCTCCACCATGCGTGCAACCACATCGCACAGCCACTCCACCTGCTGCGTGCGCGCGAGCAGGCTCACAGATCGCTGGTACGTGCGTCGCGCGTGCTTGATGCTCTGGTTCAGCACCAGGTCCACCATGCGCGTGAGCTCGTTGCCGTTGAAGTAGGCGTTGACCAGGTGTAGAAACGCAGCCGGGCGCGTGCGCACCTTGTGCTGACGCATGGTCTCGTACAGGATGGTTTCCACCTGCACGTAGTCGCCCGCCAGCGCATACGTCCGTGCCAGCGTGCACAGCGTCCGGTGATTCAGCTTCAGCCCAGCGCGCACGGCCGTGTCAAACACCTCCCGGCACCCCTCTGGGTCACGCGCCTGCGCATACCCCACCATGAGCGCGTGGAACTCGGGCAGCTGCGGCTGCAGCCCCACAGCTTCCTGCAGCTGTGCCAGCCTGTCCTCAGCAGCACTGGGGCCCCACGCCCGCGCGTGCGCCTCCAGCAACAGGCCGTATGTCTCGTGCGTTGGCACAAATCCGTGCTCCGTCATGGCCTGCAGGATGTTCTCGCAGTCGTCCGGCTGGCGCAGCACGGCAAAGCTCGTCATCATCTGGTTGACTGTCTCGTCCTCGACCGGCACGCGGTCCATGTCGCGCGCCACGCGCCGGAACACGGATTTGACGCCATCCACATCCCGGCACGCCGTGTAGCCCGCAGCGATGAACCGGAGCATGCGCTGCGTGACAGGAATGCCTTCTGACAGCACGGCCACCAAGTCCTGCTCGGCATCCAGAGGGAAGCCCATCACGCACTTGGCACGCAGCCGCTCCTCATGCAACGCCTGCTTCTGCGCCGTGCTGAACGTGTCGTGCCATGCCGGTGTGCTCTGCAAGTGCTGCATCAGCTGCTCTGCGTCTGCAATCTGCCCACACACGCCGAAAACGCGAAGCGTGGCCTGTGCCGATAGAAACGTGTGCGAGAGTCCAAGCCGCACGCGCAGCAAGGTGTCGATCGCCCGTGCTTGTTGTGCGTCGCGCAGGTCATAGCAGCAGTGCAGCAATGGCACCACGTGGTCCGCGACGCAGGAGGCTTTCCGCACAGCTGGGATCGCCGTTGGTGCTGCCAACGCTGTGTGCGCTGCTGCTTCTGCCTCCCTGAGTTCAAGCAGCACGGGCGACAGCCTCTTGCACAGGTCTTTTGTTTGGCCGAACGCCACCAAGCGGCACAGCACCGCGATGGACGTGTCTGCATCAGGCTTCAGGCCTACGGCGCTCATTGAACGAACCCACCACCTTGGGTCTTTGCCGAAGCGGGCAGTTGCAAACACGAGCGCGTTGTATCCATCCACGGACATGCGGTGGCTGGCAGCTGAAGTGCGGGAAGTTGAGGCAGCGACGTTGTCGTTGTTGCTATCATCGTTGTTGGCGGTCGTGGCGGTGGGTTTGCTGCCCGTTCTCACGCCAAGCAACCGCGCTTGTGTCAGCGCTTCGTGCCGCCTTCCCGAGAGAGCAAGCGCCCAAATCAGGCACTCGCGCAACCTTGGGATGTGGTTGTACGCGCGACTCTTGGTGGTGGTTCGATGATGCTGCTGTTGTTGTTGTTGCTGCTGCTGCTGCTGTTGTTGTTGTTGTTGTTGCTGCTGCTGCTCACGATGCGAAAGTACTGCGTGCACGGCTTCAGCATCAGCACACTTGGCCTTGAATGCGCAATACATCCGATCGGCCTCCTGGAGTATGTCTGGTGGATAGTCACTGCATCCGAGCAACGGCTGGTACGCGCTGTCCATGGCAACTGCGCACTGTTGTTCTGCAGCATCTCGAATCTGGTGCAGAATCGAGGGTTCCGTGTCATGGGCGCTGTTGTTGGTGATCGTGGTTGTGGCGTTGGTGGTGCCATTCCTGCCACCCTGGCTCGGAGTTGAAGAGGTTGACCCTGGCCTCGCAGTCACTGCTGGTGAGATTGCACAGCGCAACCGACCAGCACTGCTGCACCGCCACCACCGCACCCACGCGGCAGGACCACAACCAGCGTGGTGCAAAGGATGCATGGTTGCCGAAAATTGGACAAATCTTACTTAGCTAATCTGTTCTGTGTGTGCTTGGTTGGTTGTGGAGGATTTGTGGAAAATTTCAGGTAAACTTCAGTAACCACCAACCAGCCAACAACAACAACGAACACAGCACCACCATCATCATCATCATGGGCAGTCGAGGAGGTGGAAGCAACGGCGGAGGCAGCGATGAGGAGGCAATGATGCTGGTAGAAGTCATCAGCCAGGTGAGCATGGCACAGGGGCAGGTGGGATGATGACAAGTGAGCGTATGTGAGCGTATGTGAGCATATATGAGCTAGGTTAACGTTGGGTGCTGGTTGTGACGAGTGGTATGGCAAGTCTCTGTGCTCCCCCACAGTGACCTCTACACCTCACGCCAGTTTGCTCTTTGCCCCTGCTCCCTGCTTCCTGTTCGTGTTCGCTGCAGTTGTCCAAGTCTGGCAGTTCAGGTGAAAGGCAGGAGAAGCGCCAGCAAATTGAGACGCAGCTCAACAAGTACAACACGCAGGTCACAGAGATGGTGGACAAGCACCACGAGTCGTTTGCCCGGGCCCTGCAGTCGTTCATGGTGCTCTCCTCCAGCGTGGACAATGCAAAACACAAGGCAGCGCACATCCGCAGCGCGCTCACTGCCTGCAAGTCGCTGCTCAACTGCCATCGCGAACACGTGAAGCAGCTGTACCTGGACAGCCTCGAACACAAAGAAATCATCAAGTACGTTGTGGTCGCCTTGTGTGCGATGTTTTGGATGTGTGATCTGTCTGGTGTGCGATCCGTGTGTCACGCTCGTGTATGCGACGATTGTGTGTGTGTGTGCGATTCGTGCACCATGCTTGTGTGTGCAACGCTTATGTCTTTCTTTTGTGTGTCTGTCTGTGAGCGATCCTTGTGTGAGTACCTTTGTGCGCCCTTGTGCATCGTCAGTCGGTGGCACTTGGCAAGTGTTGTTTTCACCTCACTCACGTCCATGGCGTGTTCCTTGCAACGCACGCACGCCTCTGATGCGACAGACTCTATGACACAATTGAGGAAATCCAAACCGTGCCTGCCAAGGTAAGAAACAAGCTGCTTGCTGTGCTTTGAGCACAATGAGCCCTATGATGCACACAGGCACTCATACACCCCCCCCTCTCTCTCCCCGCCATTGTGGCGACGACATCTGTTTTGTTGTGGACTTTGCTTCCTCGCCCATCACTCAGGTTGATGCATACATAAGCACGCGGCACTTTGTGCACGCGGCTGGCCTGATTGAGGCAACGCGAAGGCGGCTTGAGGAGCTAAAGACCATTCGAGCCACGCACCACCTCAAGGACAGTCTGTTACAGAAGTAAGCCGTGCAGCTGTCGCAACTGTTGTTGTATTGCTGTTGCTGCTGTCGCTGCTGTCGCTGCATGCTGCTTCTTACTTGCTGCATGTTGTCGCTTAAGGTTTACTGACTGCTTGTTTCAACAAAGTGGCCTCACTCTGTGCTCATGATGTGTGTGTATGTGTGTGCGTGCATGTGTGCAGGGCTGAGCAGCTGCGGGAGCGATTGCTGCAGGAGCTGGAGAATCAGCTCTTCCTGCGCGATGCAACAACCAGGTGCAGTGCTTCCAGGCACCGCTTGTTGTGTGTTGTTGTGCTTTCAGCCAAGCAGTGTAATTTGAACACACACATACTCACACACGCAAACACATACACACTCACTCTCACACATTCACGCACCCTCTCACACTCTTACTCATTCACTCACTCTCACTCACTCACTCATTCACTCACTCACTCACTCACTCACTCACTCACTCACTCACTCACTCACTCACTCACTCACTCACTCACTCACTCACTCACTCACTCACTCACTCACTCACTCACTCACTCACTCACTCGCACACTACAGGGAGAAGTTTGACAATGTACAAGTGGACCGCGTTGGCAGCGATTTTGCGCTGGCAGTTGAACTGGAAGGTGGGCCTTGCATTGCCGTTTCACTGTTCATGCCACCATCACGCACGCTGTTGAATTGATGTTGCTCTGTGTCTTGTGTGTCTGTCTGCGTCTGTTTTGCTTTGTCTCATTGTCCCTTTCATTCCCTCCCTGCTCATGCTGGAGTCGTTGCCGTTGCACGACAGACGCGGACCCGTGCGATCACCCCGCCCGCTACCTCTCCTTCCTCCTGCAGGTGCCTGCATTATGCTACCACATACGCACATGCACACACACACGCACATGCACACACATACACACACTAAACACACCACTCGTACATGCACTACATGCTTACACATACACACATACTCGCACACACATACTCGCACTACATGCACACGCATACTAAACACCCCACTCATACACATTTGCAGGCGCTTGGCATTCTGCATGCAACACGGGAGGCCGGCGTGACGGCGCGCCGAAATCTCTCTGGCGAACTCACGCTCCTGATTGAAAAGAGCATCGCACACTGCAGAACACACGTCGTGCCTTCCCTCCCACGGTGTGTGTGTTTGTGTGTGTGTGTGTGTGTGTGTGCGTGCGTGCGTGCGTGTGTGTGTGTGTGTGTGTGTGTGTGTGTGTGTGTGTGTGTGTGTGTGGGTGGGTGCGTGCGTGCGTGCGTGCGTGCGTGCGTGTGTGCGTGCGTGTGTGCGTGCGTGCTTCCTTGAGCGCTGTGTGAACAGCCGTCGCAGACACCATTGTCCCTCCTCTGCCCTTTCGTTTTCATTACCCCATCATTCAACCACTCACAACCACAAATGCAACATCATGCATACCCCACGCCCGTCTTTGTGGCATCAGGGACGCTGCGGTGACGTCGAGTGTGCTGCGGTTGACGGAAAGCTCGACGACCAGCAGCGACGTGGCGTCGGCGTTTGTGCCGTCCATGGCCCTTGATGACGCCAAGGACCAAGAAGCGCTCATGGCGCCATACATCCTCTTCCACGCGAGCCGTCACATCTTCGTCAACCTGCGGCGGGTGCTGACGGCACATCTGTGTGTTCTCCGTATTGCCAACGCGCAGGCGGCTGCGGGGTCCATTGCCACGGAGGACGGGACACAGTTTCCCATCCCGCCCTTTGGCGCCCACGATCACAACAACCACAATGATCGCCACCATCACCAGCAGCACCAGCAGCACGGTGGCACTGATGGTGGCATGGGCAGCAGCGGTGATGATGATGCACAGTCACACGGCTCTGCTGAATACACGCGTGTGCCCGAAGCGGAACTGTCGTCCGGTCCTCGCGCTGCTGGCGGTGACACCACAAACGGACACCTCTCCTTTACCGAAAAGCCGCTCGATGAAGGGTACAAGCAACACGTTGCGTGTGTGTGTGTGTGTGCGAAAGAGAGAGAGAGAGAGAGAGAGAGAGAGAGAGAGAGAGAGAGAGAGAGAGAGAGAGAGAGAGAGAGAGAGAGAGAGTGTGTGTGTGTGTGTGTGTGTGTGTGTGTGCAGGTGCAGGTGCAGGTGCTGTCGTTGATGAGGTGAAAGCGACGGCGTCTTAGTCGTTCTTCTGTGCCTGGGTGTTCCTTTGTATGTCGTTTTTGTGTGGTGGCCTTTCAGCTTGTCTCTGCTCCCACAGCCCATTGCTCACCATCGTGTTGCCTGCGACCACATAGGGACCTGTGGACGGGCTTCCAAGTTGAGCTGACGCGGCTGCTTGCCCGCTACCTCGACATTGGCGATGAGTCCACAGACGCCATTCTCGACCATGTCATCAAGGTGCTGGTATGCTGTTTTTGTCCGGCCAAGTTTGTTGTTGTAGCAACGTTGCTGTCATGTGAAGCTATTGTTATGGAACGAAGCTGTTGTCGTACCACCGCATGCATCCAATTCCACGCTCACAACACGTGCATGCATCCTCTACCATGCACCCAACACACACACACACACACACACACACACACACACACACACACACACACACACACGCACAACACAACACGGCACGGCAGGGGACGTCGCCGCCGCGTGAAGCGGTTATCTCAACACAGGCCGGCAGCACGGCGTTCCAGCTGGAGGATGTGCTCGCCCGATTTGGATCGAAGAAGGAGCGGGAGAAGCTGCTTGCAAAGGATGCCCTCACATTCTCCTTTGCAAACTCAGACCACGCAATCTCGTCAACTGTGCGTTGGCCCTGAAGTTGTCCACGCGTGGCTCTGTGTGTGTGTGCGAGTCTGTATGTGTGTGCCTGTGTGTGTGTGTGTGAGTGCGAGTGTGTATGTGCGTGTGTGCGTGTGGCTGTGTGTGCCTTTGTGTGTGCGAGTGTGTATGTGTGTGCCTGTGTGTGAGTGTGTGAGTGTGTGAGTGCGAGTGTGTATGTGCGTGTCGCCGATTCTCCCTCGGCCCCTGCTCCTCTCCTCCTCAACCACTCATTTACACGCCTGCTCCCCTCCACATTGCTCCTCGCACCACCTGCAGATTGCCCGCATGGAGCAACAGCTTTCCAGCGACTCTGCAAGCTTTGTACGTCTACCACACAACAAAACAAGCAATCAATCAACCAAAGAACACACACACACACATACACACACACACACACAAATACTTGTTTGGCTTATCCGATGCCTCATCACGCCATGCCACGTGGTGTGCTGTGACGACGGTGCAGGGCGTGGAGGATAGCGATGCATACACACGCAACGAGAGCACGAAGAAGCTGCACCTGTGCTCGCCCGTCATCAACAACATCCTCGGCGTGTACAAACCGGTTGTTCTCTTCACGGAGGAGCTTGAGCGCTGGCTCGGTCGCGCCCCGCACTCGGCCGGGCTGCGGCTGCTCATGGCAGAGTACGTCAAGCAGCGCTATCTTGCATACCTGCAAGAGCACGTGCGTGCGCATGTGAAGCGGCTTGGCGAAGGCGTGTCGCTCGCCACAGACTCTTTACACGAGGTCTCTCCTTCAAGGTGAGGGAACAGCAGGCTGCCCGAGTTTGGCCCATCGGTCGTGTAACCGTTGTGGGCTCGTGTGCTTTCCTCTGTGTTTATGTTTGGGGAGCTGCGTTAGCGTGATTGGAGCTGTGCCTTTCTTTGCACCACCGCGCCCCCTTCACCTTTGAACGGTCTGTGCTTTGTGTGCGATTGCTCCGCCTTGTTCAGGGTCGTCACTTCGAGTGCCTGGGAAGTCTGGCAGTAAGTATTTTGTGTGTGTTAACGTGTTTGTTTTTGTGATGCATGTTGTTTCTTTGTTTGTGTGCACACGAGAGAAAACGAAACACAGAACGCAGACATGTCCACCGCCACTCATTCACACACACACACATGCGACACGCTGCCCCGCTCTTCTCCCTCTCCCCCTTGTTACAGGATTGTTGGAGCGCTGTGCGCTGTTCTGCACGACCTGCCGCATTACGCAACCGACATCATCGTCATCATGGAACAGGCGCTTGGGCGGTGAGGTGTTCAACTCCTTCGATGTGTCGATGTGGTTGTGATCACGCGTGTGTTGACGTGCCGTGATACGTGATACGAGTCCTTGTGTCCCGCGCGTGACCTCACACAGCCTGAATCTTGCATGCTCACGTTTTTATCCTGTCTGTGCTGCTTCACAACTGTGTAATGCCCACACAACGGCAGGTACTTTGACTTTTGCCGCCTGCGCTTTCACTTTCTCACAAAGGCAAAGACGCCAGAATCACGTGCGTACTCTCATCTGTGCTCGTGTGGCGTTGTATCTGCCTGTGTGCATGGTCCTGTGTGTGTGTGTGTGTGTGTGTGTGTGTGTGTGTGTGTGTGTGTGTGTGTGTGTGTGTGTGTGTGTGTGTGTTTGCACGTGTGCTTCTTTGTGTGCGTGAACCGTTTTGTGTGTGCGCTTTTGCGTTGTGTGTATCTGTGTGCTTGCGTTGCTGAAACCCCTCTTCGCCTCCATCCATCTTCCACGTTGTCCTCCACCACTGCCCACTCGTCCACTGATCATGATGACGCCATCTTTCCTCTCACCGCTCCGTGGTACTCAGGACTGCGGCGCGGTGAATCGTCGCTTGCCGTCCACTGGCTCAAGCACAAGGAGCTGTTGGATTACATGCGCACAACGCCTGGGTTTCGTGCAGCGACGCAGCATTCTGCACACGTTGATTCGATCGACCCTTCCACGCCTCGCACCGCTGACTCGCCAACAGACGTGGGTTGCCCACTTGTTTGCGAGCGCGCGCGCGCGCCTGTATGTGTGTGTGTGTGTGTGTGTGTGTCTGTCTGTCTGTCTGTCTGTCTGTCTGTCTGTCTGTCTGTCTGTCTGTCTGCCTGTTTAGTCCCTTGTACGGTTGCCTTCCTTGTTTTGGTCTTCCTGTCTACCTGGTGCCGGCGTTGCGCTTGCATGCCGCGCTCGCGGCGTGCGCAGCATGCATTCACGCCTCTGCCCCTCCCCCTTCTCTCTCACCCATATCCACCTTGTGCCCTCTATTCCCTTGTACAAGCAGCGGTCTGGGAGCGTGTTTGAGCATGGCGCAACGCCAACTAGTCCGTCGCCTCTGGATGCGTTTGACGAGGAGGACCGCGATGAGTTTGACATCATCACACCCGCAGACCTGCGGGGCATGGCCCCACGTGACGGCGATATTCTCATGTCGTTCCTCGGCGACAGCATGATTGACAAGGCAGACGTTGTGCCGGAAGTTGCCTCCCTCAAATCCCTCGCGCACATGTGCGAGAGCATGGAGTGGCTCGGGCTCCAAGTCTCCGATCTCACTCGCACGTTGCTTGTCAACCCAGCCAACTTGAGAAAGTTAGTGCTCTGCGTGTGTTCGTGTGTTCGTGCTCTGCGTGCGTGTGTGTGTTCGAGTGTGTGTGTGTTCGAGTGTGTGTGTGTGTGTGTGAGTGTTCGAGTGTGTGTGTGTGTGTTCGAGTGTGTGTGTGTGTTCGAGTATGTGTGTGTGTTCGAGTGTATGTGTGTGTGTGTTTGTGTGTGTGTACACTTGTGCGTGAGTTGTGTATGCACGCAGGTTTACTTTGCCAAGCTTATTTTGAGATGTACCTCCGCTTTCGCGTGCCTGTATTGTCCTTCGCACTTTTGTCAGGCTGTGGAAGAACGGCAACCACCCAATCGTGGAGATGGATGCAGATTACGCCTGCAGCGTCATTCGAAACCTCATGTCTGCGCAGGTACGCGTGTGCTCTATCGTTGCTGACATGTCCCAAACTCTTTGCTTTGTCTTGGCGCACTGTCACTGCTACCTACATTCGTTTGCCTGCGCTCTGAACAAGTCATGACCTCACTGCAAGTTGCCTTGGTTGCGGTATTGCGTGTGTGTGTGTGTGTGTGTGTGTGTTGTCGCAGGTGATCCACGGCATCCAGCGGCTCGCCCAGTCCTTTGTTGGACTGTCACAGCGCTGTCTCCTCTTTCTTCGACTCGAAATCCGCTGCAGGCAAGCTCATCCTGACACTGTCATTTTGCTTTGCATATGCGCGCACGCTGTGCCTTCTTGTTGTTACATATCAGAACACGTTTCTCAGCAATGTCTCAACTCATCCTATTGTGCGCACATCCATCGTGGTCTCGTGGCTCAGGTGTTTGTTACATCTGCTCCCCACGCTCCGCCTTGGCAACTACTACTGTGACCTGGAAGCAGTCGAGACAGACCCACAGGTATCTCAATGCACCCATGTGCACACCACACACACACACACACAGAAACGCACACGCACACACCGCACAGGCGCACGCACACACACTGCCTGAGACTGCAAGCTGTGGAGGGACATCCATGTGCACACGTGTCCATTGCTGCTTGGTGCTGATGGTTGTGCTCACTGCATGTGTGTTCTGTTCACTGTTTCTCAGATTGTCCACTTCAACCGAAGCTTTCTTGCGCTTGATGAAGCCATGGCGGCAGTGCTGAGAAAGGTGCGCGTGTCTCCTAGCTCACCCTCCGCATGACAATATGTTGCTCCAGTTGTCTGTGTACGAACATCTGTCCCTCCATCTTGCTGGCTGCTGCTGCATCTGTGCGCGCCGTGGCGCCCTGTTGTTGCCGTCCATCTCAATTTTGGTTGATAGTTGTATGATGCCCTTGCCATTGGCGTGCCCGAACTTGCCCTGCTACCCCCCCCCCTTCTCCAACGCCTCTCACGTATTGTGCCTTGCGTGTGATCTTATCGTTCATCGTTTTGCACTGGCGCCGCGGGATAGTCCAAACGAGCGTTCCTGCTTGAAGCCTTGGATGCATTCATGGCGGATGTGTTTATCAAAGGTGAGATGCGGCCCATGGATTCTGCTTTGTTCAGTTCCTTACTCCTTGTGTTCACTTGCGTTCGTTCATTTGCATTTGAGCACTCACGTTTGTGCCCTCCTGTTTGCTGTTTCCTCGCTGCAACATGGACTGACCCATGTGCCTGACTACACGGCCTTGCTGTCCAATGACTGTGTGTTGCTGGTGTTTCTTTCTGCCTTGCCAACCAAACGTGCGCCCGTCCATGTGCGCAGGCATGAGGTACATTCGACGTATCAACGAGCACGGCATCCGGCGCATGTGCAGAAACATCTTTGCCATCCAGCAGACGCTGACGAGCGTGCGCAAGACACGTGCCGCCGCCCTCGACCGCGCCATGCAGTACTACGAGCTTCTCTATGCGCAGCCCAAGGAGGTGTTGCAGGCCATTGCCGTGGCAAAGGTGCCCCCCTATTCCGAATCAGAGTACCGCACGCTGCTCAAGCTCATGGCGCAAAGCGCGAAAGTGCCGGACTCTGCAGAGTACAGAACGGCACTCGACGACCTGCACGCTCTCTTCCACGACGTCGTTTGATGGGATGGGATGGGATGGGATGGGATGGGATGGGATGGGATGGGATACGTTGATGCACGACTTGTCCTTCATCAGGACATGGTTACATTATGTGTGAAGGTGAATGTAACACGCAGTGGCACGGCACACAAGCCCCAGTCGCGTCACATCACTTGCCACACTCTGTTGGCACACTACCGCCAAGCCCCACGCTTGTACATTTGGGTTGCGTCTTCCTGTATGCTTATGTTCAGTGTTTCCCTTGAATTTGTCGCCTTGGCTTGGAGTTGTAGTGCTTCCGCCTCGAGTGGCACACATTTGTTTTGCGTGTTGAATGGTGCTGGCATCGGTCAACCCGCCTCACCTCACCTCACAAAGTCATGGTGCATAATATGCAAGCTTCGTTTACTGATTCCTTTTCACATAAACGCAGCAGTTGAAACACAGCTGAGCATGATGGCTGAAGATTTGTTGTTACACACCACATTCCTCCGAGCTACAGAAGCAAGTCATTCATCAAAACGCACAAGAGAGCCAGTCAGGAGTAGAACGAGTCCACGGCTATCACGGTGGCCACCAGCAGGGTGACGATGGAGAACGCGTACTGTCCGACAACGCCCCGGGATATGCGCTTGGCAGCAGCCTGCTTCCCTTCGCGCTGGCACACGACGACGACAAGCGTGGCGGCTGGTGTTACGCTCTGCAGCGCCACGACGAGCTGAACGAGGGCGGAGTCTGGCCCAACAAACACCAGGTCGCCCACAAGTAGCAGCAGCCCAAATCGCAGCACAGGCACGACACACATGGACACGAAAATAAACAGCACAATCACCGTTGCACTCCACCCTTCATCATCCACGGCAGCATCGGCGCCATGCTCATTCTTGCTACTATTGTGTCCGTGTGCCACTCCTCTGCCGTCATCGCTCTCAAAGGCACCTCTCTCAATGTCCTCGACGCTGCTGCGCTCACTCATGTTGGCGTGTATGTCTTCGGATTGCGTCATTTCCACAATCACGGCGGTGGTGGTGGCGGCACTGTCTGGACTATCCATCTGATGTAACGTGCTCTCTTGAACAGTTGCTGCTTCTGCGTTGTTACCTTCGCTTGCTCGCAGCCATTCTTCGAGGCTTTCAGAGCTGTCGCCACCCTCATCGCGTTGTTGTTGTTGTTGTTGTTGTAGTTGTTGTTGTAGTAGTAGTAGTTGTTGTTGTTGCTGTAGTTGTAGTTGTGGCTGCATCTCCAAGGCGCCTGAAGAAGAAGAAGAATGGGTTTCATTGGTGCTTCCGCTGCTGCTGCCCGCACCACTGTCTTGTTGCCGGTGCTGTGTACGATTCCCATGTACATCCTGCAATTGCGACCCGTCAAGGCATGGATGCTGCTTGGAGGCGTGCGTATCTTGCGCGCGTTTTCTGGCGATCCAAGCGCGCGGGTTGAGCGATGTGAGGGATTTTCCCAGCGTCGCTGCCATGACATAGATGGCCAGGCCGACAACGCTTGTTCCGTAGTTGCTGGCAGCGGAGGCAATGAAGCGCAACGGGGCATGGTCACTGAAGAACGCTCGGCGCAGGGGCTGTATGAGGCCAACAACGGCGCCCAGTATGGTGGCGAGGATGGCCGGGCTGGCGAGCCCTCGTGCCACTGCGCAGCCAAGTGACCTCTTTGGTTCATGCTGCTGTTGTCCATGATCACCCTAGTTGTGTAAACGCGCAAGCAGGTGAGCAGGCCACTCGCTGGTGAGGGCCAGCAGATACGAACAACATGGCAATGTGATGTAGTCTGTGATGTAGTCTGTGATGTGACGTGGTGCAACGGTATCCACTCGCATCAACAGATAACCCCCCCCTCTACACACACACACACACACACACACACACACACACACACACACACACACACACACACACACACACACACACACACACACACACACACACACACACACACAAGCAAACAAACCTTCATCGACTTGACAAGGGCAAGGCCAATCGTCCAAAAGGCCAGCGACCAGCCAAACACATGCACAAAGATGAAGGTGACGCTTCTGTCAAAACAGTCTGTCTCAGAAGCCAGTTGCTCTTGGTCACACAGCACCTTCAACACACCATCAGCACGAGCGCGTATGAGGAAGTTAAAACACTCAAAAGCTGCCACGTGAAAGAAATAGGGCATGCGCAACAGCAGGATCTCAACTGTCACAGCTCTTTTGTGTATGTAGCATGGGGTCATGGCATGGCTGTGAGTGGTGCATGGTGGAAGTGGGTTCCCTTGCATACCTCCATCATGACGAGCGGCATTGGTCCGACATTTGGAACTGAGCTGGCCAGCACAAACTCTGTGCGGAACTTGCGTGGCACAAAAGGTATGGCCACCAACCACGACACAAGCGCCGCGATTCCCATGTTGACTGGCAGAGGGTGTGTGCAAGTGTGTTTGTGTATGTGTGTAAGTGTGTGAGCAAGCATGCGTGGTGTGTGTGTGTGTGTGTTTGTGTGTGTGTGTGTGTGTTTGTGTGTGTGTGTGTGTGCAAATGTGCAAGCGTGCAAATGTGCAAGTGTATGTGTGCAAATGTGCAAGTGTATGTGTTGCAAGCGCATAAATGTGTGTGTGTGTGTGCAAATGTGCGAGTGTGCGCAGTGTGAACATGATCCAAGCAGCATGTTTGCCGTTGAGTGAGGTAATTTCTCTCGTCGTAATAGCCCCCCGAATGTCATGGTTGCTGCTAACTGACCTGGTGCAAAGACTGCTGATGGCCACGAGTCCTTGAGGACGTCCTGTCTAAGGGTTGCTCCCAAGCTACTAAAGATGAGGCACGGAAGGAAGACGTTCGTGACCAGGGACGAGAGTGGAGCAAGAGCTCGATCAGGAACGATCCCTGAAGGCCCGACTTTTCCCGAGCGGTGGCGAGGGAAGCGAGCTGTCAGGATCCCAGCCACATTTAGCAGCAGAACAGAGCCCACGGTGGTCGCAGCTGCCCCAATCACAGTCCCCGACACCGCCATGCTGCCGCCATGGGTGATGTGAATGAGTGGGAGCTGTTCAGGTGAGCAGGTGTTCACTTCGGGTGTTCAGATTGTGAGGCATTCCACTCTGCTTTGCTTGCTTGTGTCTTCATTTGCTTCTGGGTCAACGAAGTTGGGAGGAGTTTTGGGTGATTTACATAGATTTCAGCCAAAGCGGCAATGGATGACACAACACGACAGCGCATCCAAGCCAAGGCAGCAGAGGTGTATGTATGTGTGTGTGTGTGTGTGTGTGTGTGTGTTTGCGGCTGCACGTGTATACCTCGGCTCCGAGTCGGACTGACTACATGCAATAACATACATGCGCACTTCTGCTGCTTGTGGGTGACAGGCCAAGCGGCGCAAGGAAGCGCGCCAACAACAACAACAACAGCAGCAACAACAACAGCAGCAACAACAGCAACAACAACAACAGCAACAGCATACAGCAAGTGCAATCACGGCTGCCACTCCTGCCATTACATCTCTCTATGGCTCAGAACCAGAAGGTGCCGTGTGTGCGCGTGCGTGCGTGCGTGTGTGTGTGTATGCGTGCACGCTTGTGCGTCTGTGTGTGTGTGCATGCGCATACAGTGCTGAACATGCTTGATTGTGTGTGAGCGGGATTTAATTGTCGTCAAAGACTTTCTGACGTGCCACGTTGTGATGCTTGCTTGCTTGCTTGCTCGGGTTGCATGCAGGTGCCAGCGCACCAAAGCCCAAGTCCGTGGGCTACTTTCGCGATACCCATGCCGGGTTCTTGATAGAGGACGAGCCACACACATCTGGGGCGGGTGAACAGCAGCCAACCAAAAAGTCCAAGCGAGTTGTCGCGGAGCCAGGTGTGTATCACCTTCACGCTTTGCCTCTTTGCTGTTGTCTGTGCTTCTGTTTTCCGTGTGCCAGTGTGGGGAAGGGTAGGTGATGGCGCTCATAGGGTCATCCACACACACACACACACACACACACACACAGGTCCGGAATATCTGCCTGCGTATCCAAATGCTCCACTGTGTAAAGAGTGTGGCGAAGAGTTTACAACCTCATTTCTGCAGAAGAACTTTGGCGTTCAAGTCTGTAATGTGTGCAGGTCAGTGCACGACTTCTGTGCTTGTGTGTGTGTGTGTGTGTGTGTGTGTGTGTGTGTGTGTGTGCTTGTGTGTGTGTGTGTGTGTGTGTGTGTGTGTGTGTGTGCTTGTGTGTGTGTGTGTGTGTGTGTGTGTGTGAAGTGGAACAATCGGCTCACGAATGAGGTGCGTTTGCATTCAACCACCATGCAGAGAAAAGCACAGGCATGGAAAGTACGGGCTGGTGACGAAAACAACGGCCAAACAGGTGTTGTTTGTGTGGGGATGTCTCTTGCGAGGGACAAAGCACTGCTTCCCATGCTTGCAGCTGTATCCATCCATTGATGTACATCTGGCTCACTTGTGCTGCCCATTGGCACAACTGTTCAGGACTACCTGCTACGGGAGAGCGAGCTGACTGTGATTGACGGTGGCCTCCGCTGCGTGGAGCGTGAGAACCCAAACAGCAAATCCTACAGCAAGATGAAGCTCTACTTACGAAGCCAGGTGCTGTGTGCATACAAGGATGAATGCGTGTGCGTGTGTGTGTGTGTGTGTGCGTGTGTGTGTGTGTGTGTGCGTGTGTGTGTGTGTCAGTTGTGGCTGTGAATCGATGTGTGTGAGGACACAACAGGCTGTGATTGTGTGGTTGTGCGGCTTTGGCATGTGCTGCTGCACAGGTGGAGGAGATTGCATTCAAGCGGTACGGGAGCCTGCAAGGGCTGGAGGACGAGCACGAGCGGCGGGAGGAGGACCAGCGCTTGAAGAAGCAAAAGCGCCACGAACGACGCATGACGAAGATGCGGAACCAAACCATGGCCACAGAGTGGCTCAAGTCCCAGAAGCCACACGAGCACCGCTTTCCCAAGGACGAAGAAGTGCGTTGTGGTGTGTGTGTGTGTGTGTGTGTGTGTGTGTGTGTGTGTGTGTGTGTGTGTGTGTGTGTTTGTGTGTGTGTGTGTGTGTGTGTGTGTGTATGGGCGTGTGTGTGTGTGTGTGTGTGTGTGTTTGTGTATGGGCGCTGTCAGACTGCCACATTCCGTCACCCTTCCGCTTACACACGTGCTGCAACTCATACGCCATCGCTCCCCCAAGGTGTACGATGAGGAGAACGACGAGTACATCAAGACATGTTCGGAATGTGGCTTCACTGTTCGTTTCGAAAAGCTCTGATAACCAATCGCCATCACACACACGCACACGCGCGCACACACTCCCTCGACAGTTCGTTTGTGTGCATGTGTGCGCTTGTTATTGTTGCTGTTCGTTGCATCATCACTTTAGAGGTTTGTGTGTACATTGTAGACTCAGAGCAAAGTGTGAGACTGCACATTAAACTGCGCAACGTCCATTCTCCCAGTGTGCAACAGAAACCCAAAACCCAACAGCCTTGTTTGTACACGTCGTGCAAATATTAAAGTTGTACAGAAGCGTGCTGCCGCGCGAATGTGGGCCATAAGTGGTAAGTGGAAATTGGGGACAGGACACGAAATTCAATTGGCAGTTGCGCTGGCGGCGTGATTGTTGATGTCGTTCGTTCATCACCTCATCTCATCTCTGCCAATGACAAGCAAACAGCGTGGTTCGGTGAGGTGTTCAAGGGTGGTGGCAACGAAACTCAGAAAGAACAGATGCGCAGTCACGAACACACGCGCACAGAAAGGCAAAGAGCTACGCATGGACGTACACACACGCGCGCACACACGCACGAGCACGCACGCACACTCACGTGTGGACATTCGGTCCAGGAGTCCATGGAGACGACGAATGGACTCCTCAATGGCCATCAGCTTGTCGTCTTCTTCGCCTAAACGCACACACACACGCATTTTGCGTCACGCATACACGTAGTGAGTACATCGTACAACACCACGAGCACGCGAGTGACTATACCCAGCAATCACACGCAACATCACAGAGCAGCACAAAAAAAAAGGCACATCACAGCGCACCAGAGTCTGCGGCGCCTGCGCTGGAGATGCGAAGAAGTTCCTTCTTCAGTCGCGCAATCTGCGACAGCGATTGGCGCTGGGTGGTGTGGTTCTCCGTGCCACCACCACTACTGCTGCCGGCATCACCACCACGGTGCGAGTGGCGATGGTGCGTGTGCATGCGCTGCGGCGTTGGCGGTCCAGCCCTGAGATCGCGTAGGGAGAGGGCGGGGCGATCAAACGAGTCGTCGCCAGCGCCTGACGCCGAACTTCGCGTGGACGACGACGGCAGTGCGGACACGCGGGCACCGTGCTTTGTGCGCTGCTGCTGGCGGCCGTGGTGGTCATGATGGCGATCATTGCGACCGCTATCATCGCCATCGTGAGCGACGCCCCGCGCGCGTGTACCGGTGCGGGTGGGGGCGACGGGCTGGCGGAGAAGACGGCGCACGCTGGCGAGCGAGTCCGAGAGGCGGGAGGAGGACGCATCGAGCCGCTGGCGCAGGCGCTGCCGTCCCGACTCGAGATGCTCCAGCGTTTCGTCAATGCGGCGGTCGGCCTCGTCGAGATGATGCAACTCGCGATCAACGCTCACAGACACGTCGCCGTCGTCGCCCTCCACACCGCCAACGTCAGCACCAACGCCGTGGTCAAGCACTTGGCCGTTTGCAGCCCCGCGCCGGCTGCTGCCATCTCGGTGCAGCATTCCGTACTTGGTCAGCATCTGTTGCGAGGATCGCCGTGCATGCGACAGCTGTTCGTCGCCCTCGAATGCAGGTGCTCCATCAGGTTGCGGCGGGTGGTGTGCTGGTGCCGTTGTTGTCGCTGCTGCGGCCGCCGCTGCTGATGCTGATGCGGTATCCGTGGTGTGCGGGAAAGCGTTGGGAGCACCATCGCGTTGTCCTGCGTTGCTGATGTGGTGCACGCGGTCGGCAGCAAGAAAGGCGTGCCCCTTCACCATCGCCTTGGCCGATGCCAGTTGGTGATCGTCATCGTCAAACTCATCACTGTACCCACTGCTGGCACCACGCCCGGGCACGCTGGCGCCATCATCAGCGGTGGAGGTGGCCGATCCCGCAACGCCGCGTGCATGTGCGCGAATCTCCTCCACCAGCTCCTGCTCAACGCGTTGTCGCATCCGCCCTTCGCTTTCTTCCTCGCCGCCACCACGGTGACGACGATGATGATGAGGCAGGGCATAACCACCGCCACTGCCACTGCCACTGTCTCTGCTGTGGTCGTCGTCGCGGTTGTGGTCGTGGTGCACGTGGTGGCGAGAGGAGTGGCGTGCCATGGGTCCAGCAGCACCGCTTCTCCCACTTCTTCCGTTTGCTCCCCGCGCGTGCTGCTGTGCCGGCCGCTCTGTGCGGATGTTCACACGCTGGTCACGCGAGCGAGGACCCGTTCGCGCTGCTCTTCGCACTGATGGCTGCGGTCTGCGGTGCAAGGAGAGCGTGCACATATATAGGGGCCAGTGGCACAAGCAAGATGAAGAAGGGAACATGTGTGGGGGAAGGTGAGCGGGGCGTGAGAGAACCGCAATGGCAGGACTCGAGGGAGGACAAGACAAACCAGCCATGCACCGCTTTGGTAACGTGCAGTCGAACCCTCGCGCGGCAACACCCACCAAAACCCCCACACAGCGCGCAAGAGCGTACAAGAAGCAGCATCTGAAGACCACACCTTCGTGGCTTGGCGTTCTTCTTGCGGTTCTTCTTGTTGGCCTTTGGGATGGCTTGTTTCCTGCTGGCTGTAGTTGCGCCAAAGGGCGCTGCGTGTTTTGTCTCGTGTGCAGAATCCTACGAGGAAACGAGGAAGGAGGAGCAATATGGAGACGGGTCAACGCGATGGGATGGCTGCTGGCGCAGGTGAAACGAGAGTACACTGCAGCCGCACACACACACACACACACACACACGCACACACACACACACATACACACACACACACACCACGAGGGACAGTCACGAATGGACAAGAGCGAGTGGCTCACAGTGTGCAGTGCGGCCCAGTTGTGTTTGGCAGCAATCTGGTGCTCCTCCCAGGGACGATTGCGCGTTTCCCCGCGATTGAACGCCAGGTGCCGCTCACATGTGTCCAGCGTCAGTTGCGCTGTAAGGCATGAGTGTGTGTGTGTGTGCCAGTGTGTGTGTAAGTGTGCCTGTGAGTGTTTGTGTGATCGTGATGGCAGACTCAACGACATGGGTGCGTGCACACGAAAGCTGCGAGAACATGACACGGCCTCGCAAGGCGGGGACTGACAGAGCTGATTTTCCGTCAGGTCAACGTGGATGAGGTTTGAGTTTTTGGCCATGAGTGTGTGCAGGAGATGCGCAGACGCGCTGGTGATTCCGCACCCGCGCAGCGACAGCCCTGAACGCCACAGGATGCGTAGGTGCGTGTGAGAAGGTGAGTGTCGGGGTAATAAGGGACAGACTGTGTGCGTATGACAAGCGTGCTGACAGAAATGCATGCGCAGGATGAAACAACAAAACACTCCTGTGGCAAACAGCTGAGCACGCGAACACATGTGTGTCGAGACATGACACGACATGAGACGACATAACATGACGTACGGAGAAGCCAGAGGTCGTCAACGAGAACGTTGTACAGCTCTTCCACGGCTTCATCGCCAAGCAGCGGATTGTCGCTCAGGTCCAGGTTGAGAATGCCTGTGTTGTGTGTGTTGTGTGGGTGAGTGTGTGTGCAGGTGCACAGAGGAGGGTTGGAAACAAGGGTTAACATAACAACATGCGGTGTGTCGCACAGCAATCGCATCATCATCATCATCATCATCATCATCATCATCATCATCATCATCATCATCATCATCATCATCATCATCATCATCATCATCATGCAGCAGCAGCAGCATCATCATCATCGGAAGCAGCAGCAGCAGCAGCATCACGCTTGTCTATCGTACCGGAAAACACGCGCATATCCGGCTGGCGGCCGCGAAGCGACGTGTGCCATGCCGTGGCGCCCCTGTTTGCTTCCTGTGACTTGATGACATCGAGCACATGTCGCAGCCCGCGCGTGGTAAACGCGTTGCGGCTCAAATCCACCGTTGCCAGCGTCGTCGACACCTGCAGCGCATCGCACAGGACTGGCGACGCGGGAGGGTGGCGAGAGTGCCATGGTGTTTGGGGTGAGTGAAGTGACTTCAAAGAATATAGGCAAGGAGGAAGAGGGTATCAACATAAGGCGGGCTGCTTAAGTAATGTGCTCGATTTCGGTTTGTAGTTGAGTGTGTTGCAGCCTCAGTGTACTCACTTGCGCAGTGTTGGTTGTCGAGAAGACAGTCGCTGATGCGAAGAGTCATCAGTGGTGCGCGCGCAATCCCCTGTCGATGCACACATGCGCGTGCACATTGGCGTGGGTGAGTGCGTGAAAAAGCTTCGCTAATTGTGTGTGTGTGTGTGCATGAGTGTACATGAGTGTGCGTGTGTGTGCGTGTGTGTAGCGAGAATGTGCGCCTGATCCAGGTGATGACGCATACGTGCGCACCTGGGAGAGGATGCGCAGGTCACGGCGGCGAAAGGGGATACCGACGAGCTCTAGGCGGGTGATAAAGTTGTTTTGCAGTAGCATGCTCTTCAACGCCCTGTCGTGTTCACGTGACCACACACACACACACGCACACACACACACACACACACACACACACACACACACACACACACACACACACACACACACACACACACACACACACACACAAAAGACATTCGCACGCGCGTGAGCTTGTGATGAACAGTGGCGTGGCTGTTTGATGGCATGTGCACACAACCGCAGTCGATTGTCGACGGTTGTAAGTCCTGCTTCTTCAAGTGCGCACTTTGCAAGATCGTAGGTTGCATCAGAGTTGTGGATACTGGGTGGTTGACGGAGGTGTGGCGCCAGTAGCCCACGGTTCTGTCGTCGCGCCTTCTCGTCTTCCTCTGCAGCACACATATCCATCCAGCACACAGGGGAGAGATAGTGGGTGTGTGGACCAAACCAACACTGATGGAGCGGTGATGAAGAGCATGCACGCCTTGCATGACATACTTGTCCGATGCACTTGAAACCAAATGGAGCGCAGTGACACGGTCTTCAAGGATGCGTTGCACTGCATTGGCAAAGCATCAAACCGTGTGAGCAGCGTTATGTGTGTGTGTGTGTGTGTGCGTGTGTGTGTGTGTGTGTGTGTGTGTGTGTGTGTGTGTGTGTGTGTGTGTGCGTGTGTTCTCATGTGTGTGTGTGTGCATCTTGACTGTCTGCCTACTTGTCTGTCACAGCATCATTTACCCCCTGGCTCACACGCTCCCTTCCCTCACCCTCTGAAGCAAGGACCACTGGCCAGCCAACAAGCCCACCTTCAGTGCGTCCAGCAGCGGATACCAGTCCTCTGGTTGCAACCGATCCACTTTGATCTGTCGAGCAAAACACACATACACACGCACACACAGACAAGAAGTAAGGTGGACGGAAGGGGAAATGAACACTCGGCGTGCGCTTGGGGAATGCGCGAGGCAGGGTTTAGCCGTATGCATGCACATCAGCACCCTGTGTCTGACACGGAAACACTCACCGACAAACACGAGCTGGTGATGTTTGCCTTGTGCGCGCGCATGGAGTTGATTGGGCACACCCCCTGTTTCACGTCAAGCAAGCAAAGAAGCACACAAAAGCGGGGGGTCACAACCGGAACCAAAACACACACACATACACACACACACACATACACACGCATACACACACACACACACACACATGTACACGCGTAAGCTAGCGTGCGAGTGTATCCGGTTCAACAAAGGGTTGGATGGATTGCATTGTGTCTCTCAGTGGGCTCCCCGTGACTCGCCATGGCCCACCACCGCACACCACCGGCCTTCTTGCGCTCGTGTCTTTCATGACAAGCACTGTCACGGTTCATCAAGCCACGGCAAGCGTGTAACAAACTCCATCACGTAGGAGGGTAACAGAAGGTGCAACCTTGGGACGTGTAACAACGGCACCCAACAAACAAACAAATAAGCACAACAAACAACACACAAGGGAAGTCAAAAGCACTTCAAACAGGGAAAGCAGCACACCTGCTGAGCGCAGAGGTTCGTGTAACAAGGCAGGAACTCGCTGCTCGTGCGCTGCTGCTGCGAGCCGCGTCGAACAGCCATCATGGGGTGCAGTGTGAGTGCAGTGTGGTGGAATGCCGTGTTGTGTTTGTGGCAGGAAGTGGCGGGCGCCAAAACAACACCAAGCGCGACGCGCGAAAATTAACAACAGAGTTCGAGAAACGTCCAAACTTGCAGTGGCTCAAATTGTGGTGTCGTTTGAGGGTTCATCCGCGGCTGGCGCGACGTCCATGTAGCCGTGCTCATGTTCGGGCAGCTGCTCGCTCCCATGGCCATGGCGGTGGTGCATGGTGTCCTCCTCAAAGCCCAGTGCACCAACCCGGTCATAGATGCCAGTGCCTTCCTCCATGCCATGACGATCAGGATCTGCATACCCCACAACGTGCGCGGGTGTCCCATCATCATCCGGCGCATACCTGTGCGTCAGGGTGAGTGTGTGTGGGGGGGGGAGAAAAGAGAGAGAGAGAGAGAGAGAGAGAGAGAGAGAGAGAGAGAGAGAGAGAGAGAGGAGTGTGTGTGTGTGTGTGTGTGTGTGTGTGTGTGTGTGTGTGTGTGTGTGTATGCGAGTGTGTGTGTGTGTGTGTGTGTGTGTGTGTGCGTGAGTGGACAAGATTCTAGATGAATTAAGAACAGCAGCTTACACAGCAAGCAACCACAGTCACGGCCAACGCACGCACATGTATGTGGGGTTTTCGAAGGACACGCGTGACTGGTGCTCGTGTGCTGACAGGTCGAGGTCTTGCTTGCGCGTGCGGCGTTTACGCCATGCCACGACCGCAACTACAAGAGCGACAATCGCGGCAACAGCAATCGCAATCACGGCAATTGTCCAGCCCTGAATGCTGTTGGTGGACGTGCCGCTGGAAGAGGCCGGGGCCTGCGTTCCTGGAGTGGCGGTGGCATTGGCCCCCGTGCAGTTGACGAGCGTCTGATGCATGCTGCCCTTGAACAGCAGCGCAGGTGGGTAGGTACACCGGAGATACAGCACCTCCTCTGCCACCTCCACGCTGTTGGTCACCACTGTCATCACAATGCTGCCAGCGGTCACGTCGATGCGCTGAATGTGGCTGACATCCGCACCAACGCCCGCCAGCCACAGCCGCAGCGTGTGCGCCAAGCGCTGTTCGTCCTCGGGGCCCAAAATCAGCGCGTCGTAGTCCTCTGCAACGCATGACACGGCCAATGGCAGGTGTGAGTGAGTGTGTGTGAGTGAGTATGTGTGTGTGTGTGTGACAGACGGTGAAAGAGACACAAGAAGCAGGAGGGGGCAGACTGAACGTTGAGCTGGAAGGCACAGGAGCATCATCAACCATGAATTCAAACAACAGAGTGGAAGCGAACAGGGTACAGCGCATTCGGCTACATTCGTCTATTTTTTCGCATGCGCTGTGCCACATCACAGGTACACACACCAGTGCGCTTACCATCAAGCACAAACTGAATATAGCTGGTGCAAACACGATCACTGGTCGCCGACGGTGGGGCTGTTTCCACGGCATAGTTTGGGCATGGCACGTGCACGCACGCGCGCGTGTCGTTGCCAGCCTGGAATGTTTCTCCAGATGAGCAACGGTGGCAACTGCGGTCGCTCGTCGGTGTCAGCGGCACACTCTCCACCTTCCCGTGCAACAACAGCAACAACAACAACGCAAACAGTCGGCATGCATGAGGGGGGAGGGGCGCGGCGTGCGTTGTGAGTGACGATCAACAACTTGTGCGCATGAACAAGCAACGCACATGCACAAAGCACACACACACACACACGCAGCAAGTACACACACGCATGTACAAACATACACAGCAAGTAAACACGCACATACACACACGCATGTACAAACATATGCAGACCATACCTCTGTTGTAGGGTCGCAGGTGGACGCTGACTTGCACGACGTGGTGGGATCACTGTCATCATCAAACCCATCCTGGCTGTTGCAGTCAACACACACTGCGTCCGAGGTCACTGTAGGCGCAACCTGCTCGTAGTCACCGGCGCTGCACGCAGCAGCTGGGCGGCACTGCACGTTGACGCCATCTGGGTTGAACGTTCCGCTCGGGCACGGCTCGCACTCACGATCTGTTGACAGCGAGGGCGGGTATTTCTCTTGCATGCCGGCTGCGCATATGCGCACAGGGATGCACGTTGTATCTTGACCGGCGTCGGCCTTGAACGTCACGCCATTGTCACACGCCCTGCACACGCGATTTGAAATCCTATTTGCGGCATTTGTTGCGCGGTCGGGTGAGTGTGAGAGAAGCATAACATAGTGGAGGTGAGGTCAATGTGTAGTCAGGGGGTCGTGCACGAAAGGCGCAGCTACATACAAACGCACACGCACACACATACGCACATGCACACGCACACATACGCACATGCATACGCACACACATACGCACATGCACACGCACACACATACGCACATGCATACGCACATACACACACGCACACGCACGCACACATACGCACATGCATACGCACACACACACACACACATAAACGCAAGATCCCGCACACACGTGATACTTTCACCGCGCCCTTTTCTTCACCGTAAGCGCACTGACAATGTTGGCGGCGCGGCCTCCTCGTAGCCGGCTGTGCAGGTGCGGGGCATGGAGCACGTGTGCGAACCCGGCACCGCCTTGAACGTCCCCGTCGCACAGGGCGAGCACTGCCGGTCAGTACTTGTTGTTGGTGGAGCAAGTTCCGTCTGCCCAGCGTCACACACGGTGTGGGCGGTGCACGCGGTGACATTCCCTGGGCTGAACCACCCAGGCCTGCATGCGCTGCATTGCCGGTCGTGGAACCTGCAAGCAACATCACGCGTCGAATGACAAACAGTGATCGAGGAAGGCGAAAAAGAGCGTGGAAGGATGATGTAAATAGTCAACAAACTTGCTTGGGGGTCACCAAAAACAGTGATTTGCGAACACCACACATGCTCACAATCATACACACAATTACACAATCACACAGACAAAGCAGTGGCACGCCACAGCGGCGCTTACATACCTAGTCACGCCCACAACCGGCTCCTCTCCGGAGCTGCATGGGGTGGCTGGCTTGCACGACGTCGCGCCTTCTTCATTTTGGTACGAGTTGAGGGGACACGGCGTGCACGCTTCTGTTGGGTTTGCGCTGAAAGTCCCAGCAGGACACGCACGCTCGGCACAAGCACCTGCCGATGAGAGTGCATGGTTCAATGAGCGTTTGAATGTGTGTGTGTGTGTGTGTGTGTGTGTGTGTGTTTTGAGTGTGTGTGAGAGAGAGAGAGAGTGTGTGTGTGTGTGAATGAGCGAGGGAGTGAGTGCGTGTGTTTGTGAATGTGTGCGTGGATGAGCGTTTGCATGAGTGCGTGGATGTGTGTGTGTGTGTGTGTATGTGTGTGTGTGTGTGTGTGTGTGTGTGTGTGTGTGTGTGTGTGTGTGTGTGTGTGTGTGTGTATGGGAGAGGGGTCGGCAAGGACGTCGTGTGGGTGTTTTGTGCAACGGCACCCTGCAAACACACATACACGCACAAACTTTCTCTCCTTCTCTCGCACACGACACCACGGACACAATTATTAACAGCGGTCGCACCTGCGTTGCCTGTGCTTGGAGCTGCCTGTCCGGGCGCGCAGCTCTCGCATTCGCCATCCACCCAGCTTGTGCCGGCAGGACAAGGGACACACACGCGGTCAGAGGTGGGCGTGGGCGCAGCCGTCTCCTCACTGCCAATGGTGCACTCGGGAGAAATGCGTGCGCACTTTCGGTTTGACGTTGGTGTCGGCGCCACTGCTTCAAACTCCACATCGGCATCACATTGCATCAGGGACGAGCACACCGCGTCGCTGCTCGCGGTGGCCGGCTGAGATTCAAAGTGCGCGCCATCTGCTGCGCAGTCTGTGATTGGGCGGCACAGGGTGTCGTTGTGCAAGGTGCATGGCTGTGCCTCATACTCAACGCCAGCTTTGCACGGGGTGCACTTCTTGCACACTCTGCAGTAATTAGAGGGTGCAATGTGATACACACGGAAAGACAGCACAACAGCCCAACGTTGAGTGCGGGGAGTGTTGGAGGAAGCAGCGAAACACCACACCAAGCAAGACATGGTGCATTCTCCTTGCCTCGGCGCACAAGCTATCACACGCATGCAAGGACGTCCACAGCGTGTGTGTGTGTGTGTGTGTGTGTGTGTGTGTGTGTGTGTGCGTGCGTGTGTGTGTGTGTCTTGCCACATGATGCACACACACTCTCTCCTTCGCACCGTGAGGACGACGCGGTGCAAGGACGCTGCTGGTAACTGACACCCAGCACACACTCTTCGCCGCAGTTCTGGCACCTGGCGTCAGAGTACCGCCCACATCGCTGTGCCGTTGTGTGGCCGGACGGACACACCGTGCACAGTTCACACACAACGTCGCTGGTCAGGGTAGCATTGACGGCAATGTATTGGTTCGGGCGGCACGTGCTGATGCGCTCGCACTCGGCGTCCGTTGTTGGTGTGGCTGCCTTCGTCTGGTACTCAGCACCAGGCTCGCATGTAGTCTGCTCCCGGCACGCGTGGGCGTTACGAGCGTCCGAAAATGTTCCATCTGTAACCCATGGGCACTCGCTATCAGCATACGTCGCGCTTCTAAACACCCTCAACCCTCAGATGCAAGACGACTACGCACAAGTACAAGCACACATCAAGACATCCACGCAGGCGTCAACGCACACATTGACAACGTGTCCCAACGCGCACGTCGACACGCACACACTCTCTCGCAACATCACAAACCCACACGTAAATCACCAATACTGCAACCTCAAATACACACACACACACGAAACGACGCTGATTGCACAAAGTCACCTTCGCATGGGAGGCACTGGCGATCACTGGTGGGCGTTGGTGTTGATATGACGTATTCGCCAGGGGCACAGTCCGTCACAGGACGGCAGGGCGTTTGCCCCGCATTCACTTTGAACGTGTCATGGGCACACGGGGAGCAGACACGATCAGTGGAGCTGGTTGGTGCCTGGGACTCCACCATGCCTGCAGGGCAGTCTGTGACAGGGCGACACGCCGGATCATCTTTCTCGCGCACTTCCTCCCCTGCTTGGCATCGGCGGCACCGCCTGTGGTTGCATGCGTGTGTGTGTGTGTGTGTGTGTGTGTGTGTGTGTGTGTGTGTGTGTGTGTGTGTGTGTGTGTGTGTGTGTGTGTGTGTGTGTGTGTGTGTGTGTGTGTGTGTGCGTGTGTGTGTGTGTGTGCGTGTGCGTGTGTGTGTGTGCGTTGATATGGCTGGTGAGTGTGAAGCACTGTATGCATGTGCGCATGATATGCAAGCAAATATAATTAACATTGCCCACAATCACCTGGCAAACAAAGAAGGAGAGCGAGCAGCTCACCGACCCTACCTGTCACTGAACGTGGTGGGCGCGCTGGCTTCCTCTGTGCCATCTGGGCACTCTGAGACCGGCAGGCACGCGGTTTGACCGCGGTTGGGCTGATAGGTTGTTACGCCATCACAGGGCGTACATGGCGACCCTTCACCACGACAAAGTCGGAAACGACAAAATGAGAACAAGAGAAAACGCTGCAGCTGCATCAGAAATCAAGTGTGCGACACACACACACACACACACACACACACACACACACAGACACACACACAGACACACACACACACACAAACCGCGCACACAAATGCGTGACGGCACCTGGGTTGCTGTCGGTATCAGCCGTGCCCGCTTCGCAAGGGAAGCACTGGGTTGCGTACAGTGGGGCGTACGTCCCGGGATTGCATGGTACACAACGAGTACCTGCACCCACAGTTCCTGGTTGACACACATCGCACACCCGATCGCTCGTTGCCGTTGGTGGCAACTTTTGCACCTCGCCAGGCTGATGGAATACACCGTAACGCAACATGCGTGTGCGTGTGTGCGTGCATGAGTAGGTGAGGTAGGCAGCGTCGCCAAGAGAATGCAAGTGGCATGAAGCTCTTCTTCCAAAGCGATATGATGCTTCTTATCGTGCACACATGACCACACACCGAATGCAAGCAATTAATTCAGCAGCCAACCAACCGATACAGTCACATGCGTACACAGACGCTCAAGCACACATGCACACACACATACCCGGCAGCTGGTGGTGATTTGACATTTTCGATCCGTGGTTGCGGTGGGTGGAACAGTCTCAAATTCATCGTCCTCGCACACCTGCAGGCGTGCACACGCGCGGTCTGTTGTTGCTGTCGGGGAGATTGTTTCGTATTCACGCCTGGAACATGTGTGAAGGTCCTTGCACTGCCGATCGCTCTGTAGCTGGCACGGCGATGTCTCATATTGCCTGGGTGTGCACACCGTGCAATCACGACACACTGTCTGCTGCGTGCCGCTGCATGGCACCTCCTCAAACTGGCCGCCATCACACGTACCGCACGCCTCACAGCGTCGGTCAGACGTCAGCGTGCACGGTGCAACTTCCCTGTGGTCGTCAGGGCAGACATCACACTTGGAGCACACACGATCTGTGGCGGCCGAGGCGGGAACCGACTCAAACTCCTGGCCTTCCGTACACGCTTGTTGGGACAAACACTGCAAACAGCAGTCGCGTTGAGCGTGGTGTACATGTGGCGCCAAAGCCAGGGCACGTACTCGTGAGCAGGCGGGGCGGAACAAAGGGGGTGGGGAAGGACATTGCAGCCATGTATGCTCATACGCACACACACACACACACACACACACACACACACACTCACACGCACACTCTCACACACACACACACAAACACACACACACAAACACACACACGCACAATCACACACACATTATCTCTCTCCCTCCCACACACGCACACACAATCACACCCTCACTTACAGCATCACGCACATTGCATGTTGGCACGTACCACGCGGTCAGATGATGCGGTGGGCGGCTTGGCCTCATACTGATCATCATCGAGGCAGTGCGTGACTGGCGCACACATGCCTGTGGCCACGTGAAAGTACTCGCTGCCATCATCTGCACACGGCGCACACTCCCGATCACTGGAAGGGGTTGGGGCAACAACCTCCTCCCACAGCGGCGGACAAGCGGATACGGGCTTGCACGTGTCGACGCTGTCAATGGTGACGCCCGCGCAAATATACTGCACAGAGAGGTGTTT